ATCGCAAACAAAAATATTGCCTCCTTATTGGTATGGCAGTCTCTGTAGACTGTAATGTATGTTTGAAGATCTTCAAAATGCTGTCAAAATACAAGGACCTTGAAATCGAAATCTCAAAATTGTTGCACATGAGGACATCAACAATCCGTGTTGTAGCTGGACCCCTCGGATTGGTTTCAAAAGATTCCATTAGACTAATTGATGGGATTCCTGGAAGTCCATGTCTTAAAGAAAAACAAAATAAATGTTCTCATGAGTACAGCCCACACTGTTCGAAGGTTTTCAAACCACAACCCGACCATGAGCAAGTCCTTTGGCTGTGATTTATCTATGTAAAATGTGTGGAATTATTTTTCAAATTTGCTCAGTAGAAAATGTTATGATGCCATTTCTGACCTTAGGTCTCTGGTCTGGACGCGGAAAGAAATGAGCATACACCAGAAATCAAAGGAAATAATAATAATAATAATAATAATAATAATATTTTGTTTCAAAACTGCTCAGTGGAAAATGTCATGATGGCATTTCTGACCTTAGGTCTCTGGTGGGGACCCTGAAAGAAATGAATATACACCAGAAATCAAAGGAAATAATAATAATAATAATAATAATAATAATAATAATATTTTGTTTCAAAACTGCTCAGTGGAAAATGTCATGATGGCATTTCTGACCTTAGGTCTCTGGTGGGGACCCTGAAAGAAATGAATATACACCAGAAATCAAAGGAAATAATAATAATAATAATAATAATAATAATAATATTTTGTTTCAAAACTGCTCAGTGGAAAATATCATGTTGGCATTTCTAACTTTAGGTCTCTGGTAGGGACCCTGAAAGAAATGAATATACACTAGAAATCAAAGGAAATAATAATAATAATAATAATAATAATAATAATAAATGCCGTGATGTTATACCAGTCATAGCTCATACAGATTCGGATTTTAATTAATTTGAATTTTAATATGTACATACCGGGTGTAACAGCAAAATTGGCCAAATCGTGTAACAGCATAATTATCAATCCCAAAAATCTTTCATATCTAAAAAAAACAAAAAAAAAACACTAAACTAACTGAGTTCCTTTTTACCACGTTTCCAGTGAAGACGTTTAGCCATCTTGACATCATTTGTCGTAAGAATCACTGAAAAAAACCCTTTGTGTTATTCAGCTAGAAAGACAACAGGTGAAAATTATTTTTGTCTTCCCAACCGCTCAATGATGAGAGGAAAAAGATCATTAAGGCCTTCAGTAATGGTACCAACATTCATACTCAGGCTTCCATCTTCAAAGTCCATTCAAGAACCATCAAGAGAATGGTGAATAAGTTTAAAATAAAGAGTGAACAGTAGAAAGGAAAACTGGATCAGGAGGTCAGTACAGAAAGAGAGATCATCCTTCCAACTTAGAACTAAAGAGATCAATTAGAAATTTTATTTCTCCATATAGAGTCTAATTGATGGATTTCATTACGATAATTCTGTTACGCCTGGGAAGTAATTATACATTCTTATTGCTCCAAATAGAGTCTAATAGTTGGAATAACTAATTTCGATGCTATTTGAACATTAATGGGATTCTTTCAGATCTTTGATTGTGTTTTTCGGTGTTTTGATCTGAGGTAAAGTTCTGGCAATCTTTATTTTATAGCTATTTCATTGGCAATTTGTTTCAGTCACGACATAATGCCAGATGAAATCATTAGCATAATTACAATAATCTTTTTTTCTCTGTGCAAAGTCATCTTATGAGCAACAATTGAGACTTCTAGTTTAAGTTTGTCATGTTTTAATGATGGTCATAATAGCGGCGAAGACTAATATCTGACGAGGGAGGCTTGTAAAATAATTCGGGTATTAGACGACTCCCTGAGAAATTTTACACTACTGTCTAAAATTTCGACACTAGCGTTCATTCTTGGAAAGCAACACGAGGAATTTTGAACAAAAATTTTACCACCAAACCAAAGGAGGTACAATTGGGACACTTCATGGCCGGTTAACTTAAGGAATATTTTCATGAGAAACTTCGAAGAAAAACTTCTTGAATTTTTCAAATCACAACCCGACCATGAAGAAGTTCTTTGGCTGAGATCTATTGATGATATTTTTTTTTCTAAGAGGAAGGTACACAGGAAAGTTTTCTAAGATGTCGACAATTTTGTGATAATTTTACAGAAAAGAACAATTGTCGATCTCATTTCGCTTTCATTTAAGCTTCATCCGTTCCTGATGAAGGTTAAATAAAGACGAAACTTCTTAAATTTATAAACGTTCCTGTTTGTTCATTATCCTATCATTCCATTGGATTCTAATCAAAATTTAATCCCATTTCGTGTGTAAGTAAATATATGCGTATGTGTGTAAATGTGTGTGTGTATGTGTGTGTATGTGCGTAAGTGTGTGCATGTGCGTAAAAGTGTGTGTATGTCTGTAGATGTGTGTGTATGTCTGTAGATGTGTGTGTATGTGTGAAAGTATGTGTGTGTATGTGTGTAAATGCGTTTATGGAAATGTGTGCATGTGTCTATCTCAATCCGTTCATCTCTCTCTCTTTTTCTCTCTGTATTTCTCTCTCTCTCTCTCTCTCTCTCTCTCTCTATATATATATATATATATATATATATATATATATATATATATAATAAAAAGGCTTAAACACGAATATTCCATGGTCATAATTTATTCCATTTTAATCGTAAATAAGATCCAATTCATCAGACCTACAAATTCAAAAAGAAAACAGAAAAAACAACTCCGGAAATAAAAATAGAATTTAGACAGAGTCTAAGTATGAGAGCGTGGGACGAATGTTAGAGCTAAAGAGAGGGGTAACAGACGAGAGAAGGTGGGAGATTAAACCTTAACAGAGAGAAGTTTTAGAGAGGTGAGTTGAAGACGGTTTAAGTGAGAGAAATATCAATGTTGTCGGATGTCTAAGATGTAACCAGAAAGGATACATTTTGTGGTGACATACACACACAATATAGACGATCTAGTCTTAGTATATTTATATATCTTGCATATGTATGTGCATATTTACCACTAATATTATCTATCTATCTATCTATCTATCTATCTATCTATCTATATATATATATATATATATATATATGCACACACACACATATATATATATATATATATATATATATATATATATATATATATATATATATATATATATATATATAGGAAATGAACTCAATGTATACCGTAGTCTAATATGACTGACGAATTATTATCCCCATAACATGTGATTTGGGTTTTTATTGCGTATAAATTTCTGCTCTGGAATATTAAATGCATTGACCTTTTTTCTGTGGATCAGTTTTAATATTTTATATTACTAGGATCCACTTGGATTATATACCAACGGATTTATTACCTTTACAATATATATATATATATATATATATATATATATATATATATATATATATATATATATATATATATATATATATATATATATATATATATATATATATATATATATATATATATATATATATATATATATATATATATATATATATATATATATATATATATATATATATATATATATATATATATATATATATATATATATATATATATATATGTACATATATATATATATATATATATATATATATATATATATATATATATATATATATGTTAAAATTTATAGGGGTTTCGTTATCGGTTTTTGATATTTTTTTATTTTAATCAATTTTCTGGATGGCGGTCAATAATTTACCCGATTGACCAGGAGGGAATTTAATAAATAAATAAAAAATCTTATGTTTGGTCAGATTATGGGATTTTAGATCGGACGGAGAACTTTTCAACATCACTTCGTATATTTACCCCCGACCCCCCCACCCCGGAGCACACGTCTACATCAATCACCGTTTGAATTCCAGCAACCTTTGAACTTTAGACAATTCCAATAACAGAAATATCGGTCACGATATGTGAGATGAAAATCTCAGGATTGACAAATATCCTTGCAAGTGAACCCATGAATGATACGACCACACCTGGAATTTTAATCTAGCCCTTCTTAAGAAATACAGAAAAGAAACTATCAATACACTTGTCGGTATGGAGATGTCCTATATATGGGGGTCGAGTGGGACACGTGTTTAGTTGAATGTGGGTTGTGCTTTTACGCCTGTATTGGCCAGAATTGCCCCTCCCCTGAATCACTGGCCTGATGGCATTTGTATCCACCAACCCTACTTTCTTACTGTAAGGTAGGAAGCGGTTGAAATCTTCGAGACCAGGCACCAAACTTACTATAAAACCCAGGTTGTGTGTGTGTGTGTGTCTGTTCATTTATATATTGGATCGGATTTCCTACATTTTTCAACAGATTTCAACAAAACTTCACAGGACTACGTAAAATTACCTTGCGGTGGTTATGACAGCGCCAAAAATTGGAAAAACACAATTGTTTTTGCACGAAATCAGTTTGAAAACACGATTAAGAGGCATCGCTGACGCGAGAATGAAAGGGGGACAACTCATATCGAGTTATACTTATTATAAAACCCAGGTTGTTTCTGTGTGTGTGTGTGTGTGTGTGTGTATGTGTGTGTGTGTGTTCGTTTATATATGGGATCGGATTTCCTACATTTTTCAACCGATTTCAACAAAACTTCACTTTTTTTTGGCAGGTAGTGTTTCTTATTGTCTTGCACACTTTTTTTCTTTTATTTTTTACATTCAGAATGCTTTAAAAATTCCATTTACAAGACAATTGTTTATAATAAAATTCTATTCAATCGGTAGACTCATAACGATTGAAAACAATGTTTTTGTTTGAGTTTAGGTTTGACCAATTCGTAAAAAAAACAAAAAAAAACTAATTAAGACATACGTGTCCGTCAACCTTAAACAATAATCTTTGTCAATTTTATTTTTCAGTCTTTATGATGGTCGATACTTGATCTATCTCTTACTGTTACATGCCCGGGCAACGATGGGCTCTACTGATAGTCTCTTATAAAAAGGAATAAAGAACATTTATTACACTTTGATCCCTGACCGTAGGCCGGGTAATGATTGGTATTACACCCCACCTACGTGTGTTGGACGTGTCACGATGATATTTTCGATAAAGGGTTCCTATACGCATATCTGTAGGGCGAGAGTAAAAAAAAAGCTGAAATGAAAAGAAATTCACACGTTTTTTACGGACCTCATCAAGTATACGCATACGAATAAATGTCAACCTAACAAGCTATAAGATAAAAGTTTTAGTGGAAAAAAGTACTAAATATAAATTGGATTGCTCTTTCAATGTTCTGTCTATGGATTTTCCAATCGACTGTTTCATAGAAAATACCCAAAACTCCACCGAATTTCAAATTAATTTCTTCGTAGATTGTTTTAAAATTTAGATATTTATCAAACCTTAACCTCCCAAATATGCACGTTAAAGTAACGCGAACTGACAGCGTCTAAGAATTTGAATGAAACCTGTCGTCGTAATTTATTGGGGTTGTTGTAACGTCTTCCTTTAATGTAGTTCTTATCGCTCACCCCTTAACCACCTTTATCTAGAGACGAGACGCGTTAAATTTGAGCAATACCCAGCCGACACACTGGGGTTAAAATAGGAAACTAAAATGATACATATGACACACTCATATCCTCTCTCCACCTCACTTCCTCACTTCGTTAACTTTGCGTATACTTGATGAGGTCCGTCAAAAACGTGTGAATTTCTTTTCATTTTCATTTCAGCTTTTGGAAGTAAAGTCTGATGATCCAGAAGCCTGTTAAAGGGGTTATGGTGAAATAGCATTACATGGAATCTTAACGTGGTCTGTCTTTTTATTCAAACATATATGCTCTGAATTTTACATTGAGCTCTCTGGATATCATCCTCCTCAGGTCTACCCATACGGATTACCTAAATTTGCATAAACTATATATATATATATATATATATATATATATATATATATATATATATAGAGATATGGATATACATGGATATAAATAGATATATAATAGATAGATAGATAGATAGATAGATAGATAGATAGATAGATAGATATGAATAGACTGAGATGGATGAATAGATAGATAGATAGATAGATATGAAAAGATTGATAGATACATAAATAGATAGATAGATAGATATGAAAAGATAGATAGATAGATAGATAGATAGATAGATAGATAGATAGATAGATAGATAGATAGAAATTGAGACAGATTTGACCAGACTGAGATAGATAAGAACAGGGATACATCGATAGACAGATATGAACAGTAGCATATATATATATATATATATATATATATATATATGTACGCATGCATATATGGACAGAGAGAGTTGGATGTAGATAGATATTAATAGACTGAGATAGATAGATAGATAGATAGATAGATAGATAAACATAAGCTTGTTTTATTTGAAGTTTTCTGTCGAAAGTAGATCTGCAGACAGAAACGATCAACTGTTTCTGAGAGAACAGTCGGCTCTCCTAAATAAACTTGCACATCAATGACACCCTCATCATTTCTTGAACCTGTTGAAATTCTCAACTTCGATCGAGAATACACACGTCCTGTTTGCCAGCCACATACGAACACGTACCTTAAAAAAAACCGTCTTCGCCGGCGCAATAAACGACTGTCATTCAATGACCGACGTCTCTGAATTTCATTTTCTTATTTCTTGTTTGTTTGTCATCTCCCGACAAGTCGACGTGTTTGTTTATAAGTTCGGCGAGTTTCGAATTCATTAAATACAACAAATTCTTACAAAGGTCACTGACTCTATCCAAACTTGGCTTGTTTTTGTAATCATTTCCTCGCAAGCAAGGACATATTGTCACAAAGACTCAGGAAAATGAAAAAAAATTAGCAGACATTAGTGAGAAGAAAGGACAATAAAAGAACAGCTTTCAGGAAAACAGAAGATGGCGATAATGGCACTAAGACGCAAGGGGTTACTGGGAGTGAAAGAGAATGAAAACACTTTAGTGAGGAGAAAGGACAATAAAAGAACAGGTTTCAGGAAGACAGAAGATGGCGATAATGGCACTAAGACGCAAGGGGTTACTGGGAGTGAAAGAGAATGAAAACACTTTAGTGAGGAGAAAGGACAATAAAAGAACAGGTTTCAGGAAGACAGAAGATGGCGATAATGGCACTAAGACGCAAGAGGTTACTGGGAGTGAAAGAGAATGAAAACACTTTAGTGAGGAGAAAGGACAATAAAAGAACAGGTTTCAGGAAGACAGAAGATGGCGATAATGCCACTAAGACTCAAGGGGAAAACACTTTAGTGAGGAGAAAGGACAATAAAAGAACAGGAAAGACAGAATAATGGCAAAGACACTTTAGTGAAAACACTTTAGGAGAAAGGACAATAAAGAACAGGTTTCAGGAAGACAGAAGATGGCGATAATGCCACTAAGACTCAAGGGGGTCACTGGGAGTGAAAGAGAATGAAAACACTTTAGTGAGGAGAAAGGACAATAAAAGAACAGGTTTCAGGAAGACAGAAGATGGCGATAATGGCACTAAGACGCAAGGGGTTACTGGGAGTGAAAGAGAATGGAAACACTTTAGTGAGGAGAAAGGACAATAAAAGAACAGGTTTCAGGAAGACAGAAGATGGCGATAATGCCACTAAGACACAAGGGGTTACTGGGAGTGAAAGAGAATGAGAAGACTTTAGTGAGGAGAAAGGACAATAAAAGAACAGGTTTCAGGAAGACAGAAGATGGCGATAATGCCACTAAGACACAAGGGGTTACTGGGGAAAAAGAGAATGAGAAGACTTTAGTGAGGAGAAAGGACAATAAAAGAACAGGTTTCAGGAAGACAGAAGATGGCGATAATGCCACTAAGACTCAGGGGGTTACTGGGAGTGAAAGAGAATGAGAACACTTTAGTGAGGAGAAAGGACAATAAAAAAACAGGTTTCAGGAAGACAGAAGATGGAGATAATGCCACTAAGATGCAAGGGGGTTACTGGGAGTGAAAGAGAATGAGAAGGCTTTAGTGAGGAGAAAGGACAATAAAAGAACAGCTTTCAGGAAGACAGAAGATGGCGATAATGCCACTAAGACGCAAGGGGGTTACTGGGAGTGAAAGAGAATGAGAAGACTTTAGTGAGGATAAAGGACAATAAAAGAACAGGTTTCAGGAAGACAGAAGATGGCGATAATGCCACTAAGACTCAAGGGGTTACTGGGAGTGAAAGAGAATGAGAAGACTTTACTGAGGAGAAAGGACAATAAAAGAACAGGTTTCAGGAAGACAGAAGATGGCGATAATGCCACTAAGACACAAGGGGTTACTGGGAGTGAAAGAGAATGAGAACACTTTAGTGAGGAGAAAGGACAATAAAAGAACAGGTTTCAGGAAGACGGAAGTTGGCGATAATGCCACTAAGACGCAAGGGGTTACTGGGAGTGATTATCAAGAATCTGGGATTATATAGCAAAAGCACCAGACCAGACCAGGCATGGCAGTAATATTAAAGGCATGGACAAATGTTAGATTAATATTAGGTTGGTGCAAAAATAATGACGTAAAAATGTCGTTTTTTGGCGTTATGTCAAAAAACGACATTATTACGTCATTATTTTTGCACTAACCTAATAAACATGCAAGACGTATTCTGGCGAGAAAAAATTGTTTGGTACGATGCAGTGAACCAACGTCCCTGGCAGTAGACCTAGCGATTGATTCATTATAATCATTCCACTTCAGAATTGAAGGAGGTTAGCATCAGCCATATTAATGGAAGATCAAAAATAGTTCTGTATTTTGACTAAAAGACAGCAGTGTCGTTTTGGTGGCGTTAAAATTCCCAAGCTATTTGCGGCCCAAGTTGAATTATGATCATTTTCGTAATCAGCTACAAGTTTTACTTTACCGGACGCATCAAAGTTACTGTTAAGACATGTTAAATAGTTCTTCTATCAGTAGGAATACAGAATTAGGAAGTCTTTACACTGGGAAGGTTGTTGATAAGGATATTAAACAGTGTAGTCCAAGTATAGAGCCCTTTGGGACCACCACATATATGTGAAAGGAACGAGACAATGTGGCATTCATTAGACGATTGAATAAGAAAGAAATGGATAAATAATAATAAAGATAAGATGGAAAAAATTAAAATGGTAACCAACAAAAGGATAAAGACGGAAAGGAAAAAATGGATAAAAAAATAAAAGCAACGAACAAGTGTATAAAGAATAATAATGAACAACTGGATAAAAATCTGTTATGTGGCATGCATGATTCAAGCTGAGCCGATCATGTAACATTCAATAAGAGGCAGATTTTTCCACGCAGTAGGTTGCCATTTCACTCTGAGGGAGACCACTTGCCATCCAAAGCTATAGAACATGGTCTGTCCTGCTATTTACCCATAGGTGTGGGGAGAAGAAGAGGAATCCTAACTTTCCCAGGGGTATTAACACGTAAGTGAATGTAATGGATTCGACAGGAATTCGAAGTAGATAAAGACTAAATAAGGTCACGAACAAATAGATAAAGACTAATTAAGGTAACGAAGATATAGATAAAGACTAATTAAGGTAAGGAACAAATAGATGAAGACTAATTAAGGTAAGGAACAAATAGTTAAAGACTAATTAAGGTAAGGAAGAAATAGATAAAGACTAATTAAGGTAAGGAACAAATAGGTAAAGACTAATTAAGGCAATGAACAAATAGTTAAAGACTAATTAAGGTAACGAAGAAATAGATAAAGACTAATTAAGGTAAGGAACAAATAGATAAAGACTAATTAAGGTAACGAAGAAATAGATAAAGACTAATTAAGGTAAGGAACAAATAGATAAAGACTAATTAAGGTAAGGAACAAATAGATAAAGACTAATTAAGGCAATGAACAAATAGTTAAAGACTAATTAAGGTAACGAAGAAATAGATAAAGACTAATTAAGGTAAGGAACAAATAGATAAAGACTAATTAAGGTAAGGAACAAATAGATAAAGACTAATTAAGGCAATGAACAAATAGTTAAAGTTAAATTAAGGTAAGAACTAATAAAGACTTTATATAAGGTAAGGAACAAATAGATAAAGACTAATTAAGGTAAGGAAAACAAATAGATAAAGACTAATTAAGGTAAGGAACAAATGAAGATAAAAATAGAACAAATAAAGACTAATTAAGGCAATGAACAAATAGTTAAAGACTAATTAAGGTAACGAAGAAATAGATAAAAAGACTAAAGAGAACAAATAAAGACTAATTAATAGGTAAAAGAACAAATAGATAAAGACTAATTTAATAGATAAAAAGTAAGGAACAAATAGATAAAGACTAATTAAGGCAATGAACAAATAGTTAAAGACTAATTAAGGTAACGAAGAAATAGATAAAGACTAATTTGAACAAAAGGTAAGGAACAAATAGATAAAGACTAATTAAAGTAAGGAACAAATAGTTAAAGACTAATTAAGGTAAGGAACAAATAGATAAAGACTAATTAAGGCAATGAACAAATAGTTAAAGACTAATTAAGGTAAGGAACAAATAGATAAAGACTAATTAAGGTAAGGAACAAATAGATAAAGACTAATTAAGGTAATGAACAAATAGTTAAAGACTAATTAAGGTAACGAAGAAATAGATAAAGACTAATTAAGGCAATGAACAAATAGTTAAAGACTAATTAAGGTAACGAAGAAATAGATAAAGACTAATTAAGGTAAGGAACAAATAGATAAAGACTAATTAAGGTAAGGAACAAATAGATAAAGACTAATTAAGGTAATGAACAAATAGTTAAAGACTAATTAAGGTAAGGAACAAATAGATAAAGACTAATTAAGGTAAGGAACAAATAGATAAAGACTAATTAAGGTAATGAACAAATAGTTAAAGACTAATTAAGGTAACGAAGAAATAGATAAAGACTAATTAAGGCAATGAACAAATAGTTAAAAGACTAATTAAGGTAACGAAGAAATAGAGATAAAGACTAATTAAGGTAAGGAACAAATAAAGACAAAGACTAATTAAAAAAGACTAAGGTAAGGAACAAATAGATAAAGACTAATTAAGGCAATGAACAAATAGTTAAAAAATAGTTAAAGACTAATTAAGGTAACGAAGAAATTAAGATAAAGAGGTAAGAACAAATATATAAAGACTAATTAAGGTAAGGAACAAATAGATAAAGACTAATTAAGGTAAGGAACAAATAGATAAAGACTAATTAAGGCAATGAACAAATAGTGGAACAAAAGAAAAGACTAATTAAGGTAACGAAGAAATAGATAAAGAGCAAATAAGGTAAAGACTAATTAAGGTAAGGAACAAATAGATAAAGACTAATTAAGGTAAGGAACAAATAGATAAAGACTAATTAAGGCAATGAACAAATAGTTAAAGACTAATTAAGGTAACGAAGAAATAGATAAAGACTAATTAAGGTAAGGAACAAATAGATAAAGACTAATTAAGGTAAGGAACAAATAGATAAAGACTAATTAAAGTAAGGAACAAATAGTTAAAGACTAATTAAGGTAAGGAACAAATAGATAAAGACTAATTAAGGCAATGAACAAATAGTTAAAGACTAATTAAGGTAAGGAACAAATAGATAAAGACTAATTAAGGTAAGGAACAAATAGATAAAGACTAATTAAGGTAATGAACAAATAGTTAAAGACTAATTAAGGTAACGAAGAAATAGATAAAGACTAATTAAGGTAAGGAACAAATAGTTAAAGACTAATTAAGGTAACAGATGAACAAATACAAATAAATAAAGACTAATTAAGAACAAATAGATAAAGACTAATTAAATAAGGAACAAATAGTTAAAGACTAATTAAGGTAACAAATAGATAAAGAAATAGATAAAGAACAAATAGATAAAGACTAATTAAACGAAGAAATAAAACAAATAGAACAAATGGATAAAAGACTAATTAAGGTAAGGAACAAATAGATAAAGACTAATTAATAACGAAGAAAAGATAAAGTAAGGAACAAATAGATAAAGACTAATTAAGGTAAGGAACAAATAGATAAAGACAAAATTAAGGTAACGAAACAAATAGATAAAGACTAATTAAGGTAAGGAACAAATAGATAAAGACTAATTAAGGTTGAAGAAATAGATAAAGACCAATTGGTAAATAGTTAAAGACAAATAGGAACAAATAAAAGACTAATTAAGGTAAAGGAACAAATAGATAAAGACTAATTAATGTAAGGAACAAATAGATAAAGACTTATTAAGGTAAGGAACAAATAGATAAAGACTAATTAAGGTAAGGAACAAATAGATAAAGACTTATTAAGGTAAGGAACAAATAGTTAAAGACTAATTAAGGTAAGGAAGAAATAGATAAAGACTAATTAAGGTAAGGAACAAATAGATAAAGACTAATTAAGGTAAGGAACAAATAGATAAAGACTAATTAAGGTAAGGAACAAATAGATAAAGGCTAATTAAGGTAAGGAACAAATAGATAAAGACTAATTAAGGTAAGGAACAAATAGATAAAGACTAATTAAGGTAAGGAACAAATAGATAAAGACTTATTAAGGTAAGGAACAAATAGATAAAGAATAATTAAGGTAACGAAAAAATAGATAAAGATAAAAAAAAAGTAATGAATAAAGAAGAATAAATATAATAGTGAAACGGAAGAAAAATAACTCATATCAAATTGATAAAGAATATTAAAAGTAATAAAAAATGGAGAAATGTATGCATCTGTTTTGTCTTATTGAAGATGAATTATAATCTCACAATGTTTGTTTAAATGCCTCCGAATAGAGCCCCCAAAAATGAATTTAAAAAGATTAAAATAATTTCATTAAATTCCAAACAAGTCAAAATAACATCAATCGTTACTTGAAGAATGTCGCACGTATGATAATCTACAAAAACGATTCCTCAGCGGTTTTCTCCATTTAACCTGTCAGTTGATGTAAGGCCCTTGTTTTGAAAATACGTCCCAAAATATAATCCTCGAAGAATTGTAGACTTCGGCGCCCAATACAAGGGCTACTTAATAAAGTATATACGGAATTTTTCTCAGTCTGCAATAGACTGGGGTTCTTAATATAAGGTGTTTGGGGCGGGGTTTAAGAAACTCATTTGAAGGGCCTAAAACCCTGAAATGAATGAACGAAGGGGGGGAAAGCACATTTGACAACTGCCATGAAAATATTTATAAAAAAGACAGAGGGAAACGACACCACGACGGTGGGAAAGTGACTGAAGTCGAGATGCCAGGTCAGGGGCGATAACTTTAAAGATCCTTCTTTGGATTTTGTGGATAATCTCGAATTATATAGCAGGAGGACCAGAGTAAATATGTTAGTAATATTAAAGGCACAGACAAATGGTAGATTTATAAATATGCAAGACGTATTCTGGCAAGAAAAATTGTCTGGTACGACGCAGTGAAACAAATTTCCTGGCAGTAGACCAAGCAATTGATTAAAATATTTTTCTTAAATTCCAAACATTTCAAAATAACATCAATCCTTACTTGAGGTAAATGGTTTAATACTTTAGCGGCAAACGTCCTGAAGAAAAACAAAAGACGAATAAATACCCCTCCTTCACTTTCTGCTATCCCTTTAATAAAAATAAAATTTTTTTTTTTTTTTTTGCGTATTTGATGGAATCCTTTTCTATGTGTATGCAAATGGTTTACTGCCAGTATAGGCTCTGAATGGTTCAAATCTCCATCCCACAAAATTCAAGCTTACTTAGCATTTCTAACAGTTCTTTGTGACTTAAATTATCAAAGGCATAATCTATAAAACAAACACACACACACACACACACACATATATATATATATATATATATATATATATACTCGACTCTCCTGTCGAACTCGACGTATGAGGGTCAAGCAGATTAGTTCCTAGGAAACAGACAGCCCAACAGCAGCACATGAGAATTGATTCTGAAGGTGAAGGGCCGAATTTAGAGACCTGGTGCACTACGTGCCACAAGGTCCCCAAACAACCCTCCGCAGGTTTTGAATCCAGAGTTGTACTTCTCCTAGACCAGTTGCCCTCCAAGTCTATAGAACCCAGTCTGTCCCATAGCTGGAGTGAGTAGAAGAGGATTCAAAGATTTTCGAAGGTTATTAGCACGTAAGTGAATGTAATGGATTCGACTGGAATTGAACTCGGCTCCGATTCCTCAGTCCAAGCTGCTATCCATTACTCCACCGTACTTCCTTCTCCTTCAGTCTGTCAGTCTGTCTGTCTGTCTGTCTGTATATGTATATATATATATATATATATATATATATATATATATATATATATATATATATATATATATATATATATATATATATATATATATATATATATATATATATATATATATATATATATATATATATATATATATATATATATATATATATATATATATATATATGAATATTTTGAGTAACGTCTGAAGAATGAAAACTGAATCTAGTAAACAGCTGCGATTTTTTTTTGATCGTTTGATCAGGATGAAGGCCTAAGACGATCACATTAGTTTGTTGTCCCTCTGCCAACGCGCGTTTATTTGCACGTGCGCTAATTGAGATTCATTTTCCGTGGGTTGAAAATTCATTTCTCAGTCTTTAACCAGCTGCGTATAAGTTTGATTGTACTAACGATTCGAGATACTTAACAAATAAACTTTCCTATACGTAGAGAGGTGTTAAACGAATAACTGAATTTTGCGAGACCCTTTTCCAGGATAGATAGATAGAATAGATAGATAGATAGATAGATAGATAGATAGATGAATGAATGAACAGAATATATATACATACACACACACACACACACACACATATATATATATATATATATATATATATATATATAGAGAGAGAGAGAGAGAGAGAAATAAAGAACAGAATAGATAGCTAGTTAGATAATGAACAGGATAAATAGATAGATAGATAGATAGATAGATAGATAGATAGATAGATAGATAGGAGATAGAAAGATAATGAACAGAATATATATATATATGTATATATATATATATATATATATATATATATATATATATATATATATATATATATATATATACATACGGAACCGAATAAATAGATATGAACAGACTGATTTGATAGACAGATAGATAGATAGATAGATAGATAATGAACTGAATATATATATATATATTCAGTTCATTATATATTTACATAAATATATATATATATATATATATATATAGAGAGAGAGAGAGAGAGAGAGAGAGAGAGATAAATAAAGAACAAAATAGATAATGAACAAACTGAGATTGATAGATAGATATGAAAGCAATACAGAATTATAGAGATAGATATATTGATAATGAACAGAATATATATATATATATATATATATATATATATATATATATATATATATATATATATATATATATATATACAGAACTGAATAGATAGATAATGAACAGACTGATAGATATATAGATGGTAGATAGATAGATGAATAGATAGATAATGAACTGAATATATATATATATATATATATATATATATATATATATATATGTATGTATATGTATATATATAGAGAGATAAATAAGGAACAGAATAGATAGGTAGATAGATAATGAATAGAATAGAATAGAATAGATAGATAGATAGATAGATAGATAGATAGATAATGATAATGAACTATATATATATATATATATATATATATATATATATATGTATATGTATGTATATGTATATATATATAGAGAGAGATAAATAAGGAACAGAATAGATAGGTAGATAGATTATGAATAGAATAGAATAGAATAGAATAGATAGATAGATAGATAGATAGATAGATAGATAGATAATGAAAGGGAAAGGATGAGATAGATAGATAATGAAAGGCACTGGATGAGATAGATAGATAGATAGATAGATAGATAGATAGATAGATAGATAGATAGATAGATGTGAAAGGGAAAGGATTAGATAGATAGATAGATAGATAGATAGATAGATAGATAGATAGATAGATAGATAGATGAACACACTCTTACCAACTGCAAGGAAAGTCGGTTACCTGTGTCGTAGTATATGATTACACATCTACAAATCTACCATTTATCCGTGCATTGAACACTGTTGCCATATCCGGCCTGGTGCCCCTGCTACTCATCTCGTGATTCTTGACAAAATCCAAAGAAGGGTCTGCAATGTAATCAGTCCTCAGTTACCATTTCGACTTCAGTTACTTTCTCACAGACGTTGTGTGTCTTCCTCTGTCTTTTCTACAAATCTTTTCATGGTAACTGCTCTGATGAGCTTTTTTTTTTTCCTGGTGCCCCGACTATGTGAATTTAAGCGGTCTACTAGGATGGCATCTCTGTCCCACGCTTTTACTACTGAAATAGTTAAATGTCTCCACCACTTCTACTCCAATAGTTGCTTTTTCTCGCACTTCTCGACAGTGGAACTCCCTTTCTCTTACTTGATCCTAAAATCTTCAAAGATTTAAATGCAGCGTCAACCGCCATCTTCTGTTTTCTTGAACCCGTTCGTCTTTTTTTCCTTTACTCAGTTTCAACTATACTCAGTCTTTTCTCTTGGTGTCACTTTCTGTGACCCCCCTGCGTGCTAGTGGCACTCCAGCCTTGCTTGGGGGTGAAATATTTTTAAAAAAATAGAAAAAGAAAAGAGAGAAAAAAGAAAGAAAAATCATTCATTTTTTTTGTGTTTAATTTAAGTAGTGGTTTTAATATCTTTAAAAATGTGTTTCAATTCGATTGGATTTGACCATGTCTTATTTTTTTATGAGAATCTTTAATTTCTGTGTGTCAAATCCGTTTACTTATCGTCTTAGTATCAGATAGCACCAGATAGATTATTGTAGAAAGAAAAGACAAGCTTCCACGAAGCGACAGTAAATTTCACAGGATATCATTTCATCGATGTGTTGATCACAAAGCGTAAGAAAACCGTTGTGTTTTCTTAAACTGGAGATTTCAAACCGCACTACATTTTCATGTAATAAAGAATAGATCAAATTTCACGATCGATGCTGGAAAAATTTCCATTAAAAAAAAAAAATTTAAATTAAATTTAAATTAAAACTCGTTTCACTTTTGGTTTCTAACTTTGAAAAAAAAATTTCTTCCCGAATTTTTTTTTTTTCAAAAATAATATTTTGCTATTTTAACAAAAATGTAAAATTTCGAAATTATTTTTCTTACGTAAAGGGGTTGTTTTTTTTAAATTTCTGTTCAGTTCGCAAATTATTCACTTCCACGTGTAAATTTTATTTCAAGTTTATTCTGTCCGTTTCTTTTTCTTCCCGTGTTCAATATTTTTGTCAATATTTTCATAGTTGTAACTTCTCGGGTAGATGGAAATTTTTTTTAAACTCCTCCAATCGATAATGTGAAATCGATCAAAAGTATCGAATTTGACGCTGAAGAAGTTTATAGTTTAACCAGTTTCGAAGTAAGTATATTTCATATATATATATAT